GTGCCCAGGCTAGGGGCGTCCCCGCCCGCTGGATGCGCCCCGGGGCCGTGCGGGAGCGCTGCGGCCGCGCGGGGAGGATTTACCGCGGCCATGGACGACAAGTACCTGCCCGAGCTGATGGCGGAGAAGGACTCGCTCGACCCGTCCTTCACCCACGCGCTGCGGCTGGTCAGCCAAGGTGCGCCCGCCGGGGGGAAGGGGGTCCATCCTCCTGTGTGCGTGTGCCGGGTGCGTGCACTTGTGTGCGTGTGTGCATGTGCCGTGTGTTCCTGTGTATGTGCCACGCGTGTGCGTGCGCTGCTCCTTGTGCAGCAGCCGCCGGAGCTTGCCCGCCGCTGCCTTCCCTGCCCTGCCTTCCCTCGGTGCCCTCTGCAGCTTCTTGCAGTTTCCACTCGGCGGGTACCAGCCTCTCCTTCCTGCCCTGGTCTAAGGCAGCAGTTCCCAGACTGTGGCAGGGGTGCGCAGACAACCTGTCAGTGGTACGGGTGAGCAGATCCATTATAACTACTTTATATGACCCGCGTTTGCTGGTGGTACTTTAAGGCGCAACTGCAACCTGTGCTGGTGGTGGTACTTAAGGCTGTATGGTTTTAAATGGGTGGTGTCAGTCTGGGAACTGCTGGTGTAAGGGCAGCTGATCCCCTCCTTTAACTTTCCGTGAACCTCCCGCTTGAATGCGACCTGCATCTCTCAGCTCAGCATCCTCGGCCAGGGGCACAGCCCTTTCCCAAGGGAAGCGACGCCCCAGCTCAATCCCAGCGGTTCTGCTGCAGGCAGAAGGGAGAAGTGATTTCAGGCGCCGGGGTCCATTGGAAAAACATTTTGTATCTGAAAGCTGCCACAATTGTTCTGGCAACAGATGTTCATGGCGAAATGTTAGCAGGCGTTGCGCGCGGCGTGTTTGCACATCATGTGCAAACATCGGATTGGTTATTGATTAAGCCCTCGCGTTAAACTGTTTGTTTCTTCAGAATTCATAAAGTCAAGGTAATGGGTCGGCAGGGTTTTGAATGGTAAAATCCCAAATTTAGGACTCCATCTGTTTGGCAGCAGGCTCTTTAAAAACAAATGAAGAGGAAGGATTCTGACTTGAGCTGCTCAAATCAGTAGAAAGCAGGATTAAGTAGAAGTTGCTTTACCTAAATTATACTTATTTAGATATATTCAGACTACAAATGTTATTAGATGGGTATAGCCTGTTGACTTTCAGATGTTACGAAATCTCCACTTTTTTGAGGACTAATAGCTTCTGCTACATACTATAGGGGGGTTGCACTAATATAGGCAATTTCATGAGGGCAATAGAAATGATTTTTGCTGCTTGGTCCCCTTAAGCGGTCAGTGCTCTTCATGTGTTTTGTTTTTTGCGGGGGGGGGGGGGTTTGGGTTTTTGTGGGGGGGGGGTGGGGTCTTGGTTTTTCTTCTAAGAAATTTTATATATGGAAAAAAAGCAAAACACAAACACTTGCATAACGTACAAGTGGGGTGGTGGGGGAACTAGCTCAGAGGAGGGAGCTTGGTAAAGCAAATTTTGATGTAGCAGACAAGAAGCTTGGTTTAACATGTACTTGTTTTAATGGATATTTGTTCATGAAACTTAAAGCAACATCCGTGCTTCAATTATGAAGAAAATGACCCACTTGTCAATGAGTGACTGAGTGAAGGTTGCAGATAAAATATTTTTTGAATAGCAGCATTCTGCATGTGTGTGTAAAGAGGGTTTTTGAGGAGATTGTGCAAACATGCATGGTACTTGTAAGAGTAGAGGACACAAAGGATAGCTCTGTGCATGCAGTCTGATAAGAATGAAGCTACCAGCATTAAGGCTTGAGATTTTTTTTTTTTTTCTTTCTTGTTTTATGGATGAGTCAAAAATCTACAGAGGAAATAGGTGCCGGCAACTTGATTGGGAAGTGATATGATCTTTTAAGTTTCTTGATGCAATAATTTGATTGTTGCATCTGTGTGTACTTTAAGTTTCTAGCTTGCAGGACTAAAAAATGGAAGGTGCTCTTGGAGCAAATGGATTAGGAAGAGCTGTCTGTTAATGGATCTTGTGTCCAGGTAGGCTGCTTTCTTCAGCTTCGGTTTTAATAAGTGAAACATTAAGTGTGAACCCATTGTGTTCAAATCTGTAGTCACTAAAATAAAAGCTCAGTAGGTAACAACTTGCTAGCTCCACGTAAATGCAGGTTTCATTCATAACAATGCATATTTAAAGTGACTGCAGCTGATGGGTGGTTTCCCAGGCAGTTTGTATGCTGGATTGATGTGAAGCATCTAATTAATGAAAGAAGTGGAAAAATGGAGGTTGTCCGCTTTCTGTAAGCGATACAAAACTGTACTGTGATTAGTGACTTCAGGCTAGAGAAACGGTTCCTGAAAATGGCTTTTTAAACCTACTAATCTAAACTGTAACAGGTGATATTCTTTGATGTTAAATGGAGAGTGCTTTTTTTGTTAGTAGAAAGGGTTATTTCCACTTCTGTCTGCCTGAATTATGCTGGTTTGTACTTCAAGACAAATAATTCCTCTCTTATTCTCTTTCCTTACAGTTGCTCAGCCACTTATTTTTGAAAAATTTGAAAGACAGCTGAAGTTTAGCTGTTTTTGTTGTTGCAAGCAAAGACATTAACAAGTCTCCAGCTATGTTAAGGCTGGGTCTCAAGGGAGCAGAGTTGTCCTGTGGCCCGAGTTTTAGTATCTGCTAGTTATTGTTTTCACACACAAGTGGCTACACATGCATCCGTATGTCTGTTTTCTTCATTTGAAAGGTTAAGTTATAGGACTCTGAAAAATACATCATAAAACGCACTGGTGGGGTGAAGAACTTTAATTTGCTAATAGTAGTGCTGCAAAACGTGTTACTTCAGCATTAGCAGTAGCTTGCATGACAACACATTGGGCTTTTTGTCTTAAAGAATTGAAATGATAACGCATTTTTTGCCTACATACTCATTACCTTCATTGCTACTTCCATTTGCCATAAAGCAGTAAACAATAGTCTCATTGTCCCTCCCCCAAAAACCAAAGTTTCTGGTGGTTTTAATACAGTTCTTACAAATATAAATGAAAAAAAGTTAGTTTTGAAATATTATGGCAAACAAGCATTGGGACAATTCACTACTGCTTAAATTTGATAGAACAGTAGGGGTCCTTCTCTTGGAGGTAATGAGAATATATTGTCAGTTCTGGTTTGAATGAGGCATTTACTTTTTATACTTGAGCAAAATGCATGAAACCTGTTTACTGTAATATAATTAGCTCGCTTTCTATCCACTCAATTAAGTTCGTGACAAATTAAAGCCAGATATTAAGCGCCTGAAAGATTTATCTGTATAAGGGGATTGTTCTGAAAGGGTTAAGCTGTAGCTGCTGTTATAGCCTGATTCTTTTTAAATCTCCAGAATGCTCTTCTTTAAAAGGAAGGCCCCCTTCCTATGGATGTTTGCTCACTGTAGAGAGCAGGAGGTATACATACCCCTGCCATGTATAAGCATGAGGGTATGTACCTTTCCATGTTTAAAATTTGGGACCTGGCTGATTTGAGAGAGAAACAATAGAACTGAAAGTTCATATGAACAAACTGGAAAAATGCAAGGAATGGTACACTTGGTCCTGGTGTTGAGGCTAGGCGAGATCTTCTATAATCTCTTTGTTCTTATTTCCTATAACTTTATGATTTAACATGAGTTTATCAACTTTTTGTAAAAGTAAGATGAGAGGTTTTCCGCAAATAACAGAGAAGGCAATCATTCCCTTAATGAAAGGTTTTATAAATACTTTTCACTGCAGCTTCTCTCTAAAGGGATGTTGAAAATCTCTCAAAAGTGACTTGTCAGCTCTGGTATTAACACTTAGGTTGGGGGATGCCTTTAATATGCAATGGATTAACCTGCTCTTGGTGCAGGTAGAAAACTACTGAACGAAGGCTAGGGTGGTAGGTTTTTCCTGGTTAAAATGAAAGTTCAGTAGTACAGCTTGCATTTGGAAGTTTGTGGTACTTACCTTTTAAGGAAAGGTAGGTAGAGGAGGCCTTTCTTTAGCTTTCCCATACAAATTTCTCTTCGGACTGGAATTAATACCGTGTCTTATCACATATTTTTCTTTTGAAGCTGAGCAGTTTGCCTTGGATGGTTTTCAGTTGAGGTAGGCAGGTTGTTTGGCTTGATATCTTGTGCTCAGTGTGGACTGCCTGCTCCCTTGTATAGGCAGACAAGGTTCTTTGGGTAGATGTAATATATCTTTTTTATTAGACCAACTAAATAATTGGGGGGAAAAAAAATTGTTTAGTGCAAGCTTTTGGGCACAAACACTCTTCTTCAGGCATAGACAGAGTCTGTTTTTTGAGCTGTTCTGGGTAGAATAGAAACCAATATGCAAAATGCATATTTTTTTGCTCCTTTGTATGGAATCTAATGCCCCTGATCAAGCAGCCCTTTGCAAAGCTGACTGGTTTGGCTGTGCAGTACATTAAAATATGTTTGCAAATATAAACATTTGTTATGTTGTTCCTTGCAGTAAGCTGTTAATAACTGAGGAATGCTGTAAACATAAACAATACAATAAAAGATTGGAAAGGGGAGGATTTGTATTAAAGAATGGAAGGAGGTAATTTTAGGAGCTGCTCATCTCGTGTTGTCTGATTATCTTTAGTGTTGGCTTATAATGCACATCTATTGAAATACGAGAAACTACAAATGGAAGAAGTTGGTTAACAGAAACAAAACCTGTTAATCACACTCCATTTGTAGCTGCTTATTATGGAAAACATCTGAGAATCTTAAAAATAACTAAGGCCACGTGATAAATGTGAAATATGAAAGGATAGCATATAAACACAAAGAAAAAAAAAAATCTCAATGCTGTACATATTGCGTCTTCCGCTCTTCTATATGCTGAAGCAGAGAGTTTCACAGATTCAATACTCCATTGCATGGCCTTCAAAGAATAATATTAAAAATATTTAGTCCTGTTCCTGCCTCCTTACTTTTTGCTCTCGCAGGATATAAAGTGGCAACAGGCATCAATAGGAAGTCAGCATGTGCACTGACATGTTGCTTTACTGTTTGGGCACCTATGTGAGGTTTGCTCATTCTTATGTGCAAATCTCTGGAGTAGCAATGACATACAGCTCAACTAAGGGCTTTCTAAATGAAATTTCAGAGAAAATGGTGG